ATCTCTTTGGCTACAGTTTCTCGAGGGTCGTGAAAAATTAATTTTTGGCGTGATTTAAAGGCCCCCAAACCTTGATAGGGAGTATGGTAGGCTGCTATGGGATGAAATTCATAAGGAATCTAGATATGAAAATGTTGTGTTAATGGGAGACTTTAACTTTAGACAAATTGATTGGAACAATGTGACATGAAATCTTGAGTCTAGTGACTTTCTTGATACGGTTCAAGAGTGCTTTTTAAAACAGTTTGTGACAGAACGAACTAGAGGAAACAATCTGCTTGCCTTGGTTCTTGCCAACAAAGAATCTTTAGTTAATAATCTTGAGGTTAGTAATGAGCTTGGGGAAAGTGATCACAAATCACTTGATTTCAATATATCATGGAATTACCCAAATAGCTGCAATCAACTCGCTGTCTCAGATTTCCACTTGGCCGACTTCATGGGTATGAGAAATTACTGGGTGGCCTAAATTGTGACTACCTTACTGTGTGTCAGGTAGGTGCTGGCTGCTCATACGACGTTTGTCTCGAGTAGGGAAGTTAGATCTTACAAAAATTATCCCAAATGGGTAAACAATAGATTAAAACATGTCATTGGTCAAAAGAGAGGCATATATAGGCGTATCAAAAGAGGGAAGTGCAGTTAAGAAATTAATATACTCAGTTAAAGAGAGCAATATATAAAGAAATATGAAAAGCAAAAAGGAATTATGAGGCTAAAGTCGCAAGGGATTCGAAGACTAACTCACAAAAGGGTTCTTTCAGATATAAAGAAGTAAGATTAGGGACAATACTGGCCCATTTAAGAGTAACTCAGGTCAGATCACTGACAGTGTTAAGGAAATATGTGAACTTTTCAATACCTACTTCATCTCGGTTTTCATTCAGGAAGATACTAGCGAAATTCCAGAAAAAAATAAATTATGTAGAACTGGACGATAATAAACTATGCACGATTGCAGTAACTAGTGACGTGGTCCTCAGACAAATAGAGAAATTAAAACCTAACAAATAACCAGGCCCTGATGATCTATATGTAAGGGTTTTAAAGGAATGTAAATAGGAACTTAGCATACCTTTGGCTAATCTTTTCAATATATCACTACAAACTCGCATAGTGACAGACAAGTGGAAAATGGCAATTGTAATACCTATTTATAAAGCAGGTGACAGGTGTTTAGCTTTGATCTATAGACCAACAAGACTTACCTCAACCCTTGCCAGTTTGGGTTCAGGCCTAATAAAAATACGAATGATGCTGCTATACACATGCTAGAACAAATATACACTGCACTCGAGAAAAAAGAAGTCCCATTGGGGATCTTCATTGATTTACGTAAAGCTTTTGATACAGTTGACCATGATTTGTTGCACATAAAATTACCCCACTGTGGTATAAGAGGGCACTCCCTCAACTACCTAAAGTCATACCTTAGCAACAAAAGTCAATATGTGTACACAAATGGAGCAAACTCTTCTACACAACCAATTACAGTTGGTGTCCCACAGGGAAGTGTCCTTGACCCTCTTCTCTTTCTCATTTACATAAACGACCTACCAAATGCATCGCAACTACTCAGACCCACACTATTTGCAGATGATACTACATATGTCTTCTCTCACCCAAGCCCAGTCATACTAGCCAATACTGTAAATACCGAATTACAGAAAATATCTACCTGGATGATGATTTACAAGCTTACTCTCAATATTGACTAAACCTACTTCATTCAGTTTGGGAACAGAACTACAGATGTTCCTCTTAACATAATGATAAACGGATCACTTATCACAAGGATCACAGAGGGAAAATTCTTAGGAATCCACCTTGATAATAGACCCAAATTTTAAACACATGTACAACAAATTTCCAAGAAAATCTCAAAGACCGAAAGCATACTATCGAAGAAACGGTACTATGTTCCACAATCAGCTCTCCTGGCCCTATATCACTCACTCATTTACCCCTATCTCACCTATGGAATGTGTGCTTAGGGCTCAACAACAATAAATAATTAACTACCCAACAAAAGGCTGCAATCAGAATGATAACAAATTCCCACTCCAGGCAGCATAGTCCACCAATATTCAAAACTCTAAACTTACTCACCGTACAACACATTCATACTTATTATTGTGCCTACTACATACATAGAACACTAAATTCGGATATAAACCCTCCCCTCAAACTTCTCTTTACCAACCTCAACAGAACACATGACCATAACACAAGGCACAGCTCACTCTTTGATGTTCCCCGTGTCCATCTAACACTATGTAAAAACTCAATGCACATAAAAGGCCCAAAAATCTGGAATTCATTACCTGTGAATATAAAAGAAACACTGTCTGTTTATCAATTCAAGACTCTTCTTAAAAACCACTTACTCACCCACAACTAAATAAATACTGAATAACTGTATCTCATAAATGTATAACCTGTGACCCTATCAAACTATGTTTTTTTAATTACATTACCTAATAGAATAATCAGTTCTCTTGAATGCACAGTAACTCATCTAATGACCATATGACCTGTCACTACACTACGAATCATTGATTTTACTCGATTTAATGGGATTAATAAATTGTATGACTTCATATAGTATATTGATCATTTTATTATATTACACATTGTTATGCTACAAATTTGTACAACTTTAATGCTTCTTATTTGAAATACTCATTTCTATTTCATGTTGTAATTTGTTTACTGTAATTTTTACCACTGAATATATCATTGCTTAGTTAATCTTAAGTTAATTTTAAGCCTGCCCATAATGCTCTGTATACAAGGGGCTTTTGGCATGTACACCCAACCACTATAATTCCTTTTACAACTTTGTATCATGTCCAAATAAAAGTTATTATTACTATTATTATTATTATTAATTGCTGAAGCAATTCGTAGCCATCTTAAAAGGCATAAACTGATTAACGAATCTCAGAACGGTTTTACAAAGGGGCGTTCCTGTCTTACGACTTTACTAACTTTCTTCACTAAGGTATTCGAGGAGGTAGATTATGGTACTGAATATGATATTGTGTATATGGACTTTAGTAAGGCTTTCGATAGAGTTCCACATCAGAAGCTGTTGAGAAAACTTAAGGCGCACGGAATAGGAGGAGAAATTTTTTCCTGGGTAGAGACATGGTTGACAAATAAACAGCAGAGAGTTTGCATAAATAGGGAGAAATCAGAATGGGGTCGCGTCACAAGCGGTGTTCCACAGGGGTCAGTGTTGGACCATTTGTTGTTCACAATCTACATAACGAAATAGATGAGGGGATAAATAGTGACATAAGCAAATTTGCTGATGACACCATAATAGGCCGTCCAATTCATTCTAAAGAGGACATTAGAGAACTCCAAGATTATTTAAATAGACTGATGAAGTGGCGGGAGAAGTGGCAGAAGCAGCTTAATGTAGACAAATGCAAAATTCTACATGTTTGACAGGAAAATAACCATGTCACATATAAACTAAATAATGTAGATATTAATATTACGGATTGCGAAAAGGATTTAGGGGTTCTGGTTAGCAGTAATCTGAAACCAAGACAACAGTGCATAAGTATTCGCAATAAAGCTAACAGAATCCTTGACTTCATAGAAGTCCTCAGGTTGTTCTTCAAAACTTCTATATATCTTTTGGGTTAGGCCTTCTTCTAAAATTTGGGGAATTAAATGGGGCTTTTGCGGCCCAAGTTTTTGGTAAAAAAACCTTTTTAATTACAATGAAGGGGATATAAAATGCAAAAAACTGGAAATAACGTACAAAGGAGGATGGGACCAAAAGGGATTGAGTCCCATAATTTATCCTAATTTCTTATGGATAAATGGATAATCTGCATCTTCTTAAAATGCTAGAATTGGGAATTTAATAAAGGAAATAAATAGCGGGGTTTTAAAGGATAACATAAGGCTCCCGCCTATTTTAAATTGGGAAAATTAGGTCGGGGATTAAAGCCCTGGTTTGGTTATTAAGTTTGGATAATGTGGTACAAATCCGATTTTACTTCGGTCATAAATAAAATTTTATTTTAAAATATTTATAAATAATATTTAATATTTGATTATAATATTATTTATATATTTTTTTAATATTTTTATATATATATAAAATGGGAATTACCTTATGGGAAATAATTTATGTTCTTTTTTTTATATTATATATATATTATATATATATATATATATATATATATATATAAAATATATTTATATATCATATAATATAAAATTTTATATTATATATTTATATATATAATATATGTCTAATAATAAAACTTATCTTGTAAAATAGAAATATTTATTTAACAATGAAAATTTTTATATATATTTAAAATATTTAAATAAAAAAAAAATTATTTATTGAATTTTTATTATTAAATTATTTAAAAAAATCTAAAATAAAAATTTATTGGTTATAAAATAAATTTTTTTTATAATAAATAAATTATTAAATTTTTTAATATTTTTGGGGAAAATTATATATTTTTAAAATTAAATTAATAAAAATATATATTTTAATAATAAGAAAAATTTTAAAATTAATTTTAAATATTTTTAATTATATTTTTAATATTCGGCACAAGAAATATATATAATTTTATATAAAATATATATTTTATATATATAAAATTATTATATATATAAAAATATATATATTTAAAAATATATATATATAATTTATATATATATATATTTTATTGCTAAAAATTATATACAAAAATTAATTAAAAATTAAAAAATTTTAATCTTTATATTTAAGAATCTTTAATAATTTTAATCAATAAATATTTACATAATAAGAAAACAGAAGAACTATATAAAAAAGATAAGGTAATCAGTCCCCAACCTTGGAGGGTGTTTAGAGCACCGGGTTGTAGAAAATTCTGAAGCACAGCAAGGAGACTGGCGCATTAATTTGGCTCAGTGAATGGGGCGTGTAGCAGACGAGGGCATTTGTCACTGGAAGGCGGGATTCCCCAGTGGAAGTAGGTCCTACCCAAATTGATGGGTTAGTTGTAGTAGCCGATGTTGCACAAGTGTCTTAACTTTCATCTTGTCGGTATTGTATACTTGTCTTGCACAACTTGTCAGACACTGCAACATCATGGAATCTTGGTTCAGAAACATCTACATGACCTTCACGGCTCCTAAAACTAACCCATCAATTTGCGTAGAACCTACTTCCACTGGGGAATCCCGCCTACCAGTGACTATGCCCTCAGTGTTTGTGTATATTTCGCCTGCTCTTGCGAATTCTTGCATTGTTAAAATCTCTAGTAAGGGTGATGCATGCAGGGGATGAGATGAAAAGCTGTAAGCCTTCTCCCTGAAAGCTGGCTGCCTTGGATCAAAGTCTAGCGCAAGCTGGACTCCAAGGTATTGGTCCAGTGTGGTGAGAATGGTATAGCACTGCGTACCTTGTTCCAAGGTTCGTAGGTTCGAGTCCCCTTCAGCCAGAGATCAGTGTTTGTGTATATTTCGCCTGCTCTTGCGAATTCCTTGCATTGTTAAAATCTCTAGTAAGGCATTCAGGGGATGAGATGAAAAGCTGTAAGCCTTGGAATAGGAAAGAATAAAGTTATGAGGATAACGAAAAGATTAGGTGATGAAAGATTGGATATCAGATTGGAGGGAGAGAGTATGGAGGAGGTGAATGTATTCAGATATTTAGGAGTGGACGTGTCAACGGATGGGTCTATGAAAGATGAGGTGAATCATAGAATTGATGAGGGGAAAAGAGTGAGCGGTGTACTTAGGAGTCTGTGGAGACAAAGAACTTTGTCCTTGGAGGCAAAGAGGGGAATGATGAGAGTATAGTTTTACCCAAAGCTCTTATATGGGTGTGAAGCTTGGTGATGAAGTTGCAGCGAGGAGAAGGCTGGAGGGAGTGGAAATGTCATGTCTGAGGGCATTTTGTGGTTGTGAATATAATGCAGAGAATCGTAGTTTGGAAGTTAGGAGGAGGTGCGGGATTGCCAAAACTGTTGTCCAGAGGGCTGAGGAAGGGTTGTTGAAGTGGTTCGGACATGTAGAGAGAATGGGGTGAAAAAGAAATGACTTCAAGATGTATCAGTCGTAGTGGAAGGAAGGTGGGTAGGGGGCGGCCCTAGGAAAGGTTGGAGGAAGGTTGGTAAAGGAGGTTTTGCGTGCGAGGGGCTTGGACTTTTGGACTTCCAGCGGGCATGCATGAGCGTGTTTGATAGGAGTGAATGGAGACAAATGGTTTTCAATACTTGACGTGCTGTTGGAGTGTGAGCAAAGTAACATTTATGAAGGGATTCAGGGAAACCGGCAGGCTGGACTTGAGTCCTGGAGATGGGAAGTACAGTGCCTGCACTCTGAAGGAGGGGTGTTAATGTTGCAGTTTAAAAACTGCGGTGTAAACCACCCTTCTGGCAAGACAGTGATAGGGTGAATGATGGTGAAAAACTTTCTTCTTCGGGCCACCCTGCCTTGGTGGGAATCGGCCAGTGTGTTAATAAAATAATATATATATATATATATATATATATATATATATATATATATATATATATATATATATATATATATATATATATATATATATATATATTATATTATTTTTACACATCGGCCGTCTCCCACCAAAAGAAAAACTTTCATCATCATTCACTCCATCACTGCCTTGCCAGAGGCTCGCTTGCACTACAGCTATGAAACTGCAACATTAACACCCCTCCTACGCAGTGCAGGCACTATACGTCACATCTCTAGGACTCAAGTCCGGCCTGCCAGCTTCCCTGAATCCCTTCACAAAGATTACCTTGCTCACACTCCAACAGCACGTCACGTCCTAAAAACTATTTGTTTCCATTCGCTCCTATTTAACACACACATGCTTACTGGAAGTCCAAGCCCCCTCTCAAGCAAAACCTCCATTACCCCCTCCCTCAAACTTTCCTAGGCCAACCCCTACCCCGCCTTCCCTCCAATACAAATTTATACACTCATGAAGTCATTCTACTTTGGTCCAGCCTCTCTACATTTGTGAACTACCTCAACAATCCCTCCTCAGCCCTCTGAATAATAGTTTTGGTAATCCTGTACCTCCTCCTAATTTCCAAACTACCAATTCTCTGCATTATATTCACACCACACATTGCACTCAGACATGACATCTCCAATGCCTCCAGCCTTCTCCTTGTTGCAACATTCACCACCCATGTTTCACATACATATAAGACCATTGGTATAACTATACATTCATACATGCCCCTCTTTGCTTCCATGTATAAAGTTCTGTGTCTCCACAGATTCCTAAGTGCACCACTCAAGTTTTTCCCATCATCAATTCTATGAATCACTTCATTTTTCATAGACCCATCTGTTGACATGTCCTCTCCTAAATATCTGAATTCATTTACCACCTCCATACTCTTTCTCTCCAATCTAATATCCAATCTCATGTCTTCTATTTTTTTTTTTTTTTTGTAATCCTCATCACCTTACTCTTTCTTATATTCACTTTTAACTTTCTTCTTATACATACCTTACCAAACTCATCCACCAACCTCTGCAACTTCTCTTCAGAATCTCCCAAAAACACAGAGTCGTCAGTAAAGAGCAACTGACAACTCTCACTTTGTGTTAGATTCTTTGTTTTTTAACCTCATACCTCTTGCCAACACCCGAACATTAACTTCTCTTACAACCTCATCTATAAATATATTGAACAACGATGGTGACATCACACAGCCTTGCCTAAGGCCTACTTTTATTGGCAAATAATCTCCCTCTCTCCTACATACTCTAGCCTGAGCCTCACTATCCTCGTAAAACTCTTCACTGCTTTCAGTAACCCAACTCTTATTCCATACATTTGCAAGATCTGCCTCATTGTCCCCTTATCCACCCAGTCATGTGCCTATTCCAAATCCACAAATGCCACAAAAACCTCTTTAGCCTTATCTAAATACTGTTCACCTATATGTTTCACTGTGAACACTTGGTCTACACACTCCCAACTTTTCCTATAGCCTCCTTGTTCATCTGCTATCCTACTCTCCGTCTTACTCTTAATTCTTTCAATAACTCTACCATACATTTTACCACAAGCAGAGTATATATTATTGTAACCACGAACGAGTGGTATTCAATCAATAACAACACTGCAACTAACCGAGAACTCGAACCCATGTCGTTTTGGTCTGGCTCGTGGTGAACGCAAATCACACGATGCTCTAACTCACATGACTACTCAATCTTCAAGAATCACGTACGCAGCAGAGCTAAGTGTTTTACCGTGATCTGAGGACATGCGGTGGTGTGGGTGCCTCTGAGCTAATTTCATTCTACTTCCCGTTTGGTGTACTAGCCTCCCCAAGCAGTATGTATATTTTTGTAACCACAAACGAGTGGTAGTTAATAACAACAGTGAAACTAGCCGAGGACTCGAACCCATGTCGTTTTGGCATCATGTGATTCTCGCTTACCATGAGGCAAGCCAAAACGACATGGGTTCGACTTCTCGGCTAGTCACAGTGTTGGTACTGAATAAATACCACTCGTTCGTGGTTACAATAATATATATACTGCTTGTGGAGGCTAGTACACCAAACGGGGAGTAGACTGAAATTAGCTCAGAGGCACCCACACCACTGTATGGCCTCGGACCACGGTAAGACATTTGACTCTGCTGGGTGCATGACACTTGTAGGATTGAGTGGTCCTGTGGGTTAGAGTGTCATGTGGTTTTCGCTCACCATGAGGCGGGCCAAAACGACATGGGTCCGAGTCCTCAGCTAGTTGCAGTGTTGTTATATTATAAAATATATATATATATATATATATATATATATATATATAATATATATATATAAATATATATATATATATATATATATATATATATATAATATTATATATATATATATATATATATATAATATATATATAAATATATATAATATATAATATAAATATTAAAATATAATATGTCGTGCCGAATATGTAAAACTGGCTAATTAGCAAGAACTCATTTAAAATTAAGTCCTTTCTAAAATTTTTTCTTATACGTTTAAAGATATATTTTTTTTCATTAATGTTGATGTAAAAGTTTATAATTTTGCACCAAAAGGAACTTAGAAAACTTACCTAACCTTATTATAACAAGCTCAATTTATTTTAGCCTAACCCAACTAAATATATTTTAGATTTGTTTACAATAATTTAATACTAAACAAACACAGTGAAATATATATTTTTTCCTTAGGTTCAGAATGATTTTGGCGAAATTATTGCATACACAAAATTTTCACTTGTCCTATATGGCAAGATGAGCGTTGCTATTTAAGCCAAGATCGCAAGTTCTCCTATTCGGCACGACATATATATTATATATATATATATATATATATATTATATATATATATATATATATATATATATATATATATATATATATATATATATATATATATATATATATATATATATATATATATATATATATATATATATATATATAATATATATATATATAATATATATAATATATATATATAATATATATATAATATATATATATATATATATATATATATATATATATATATATATATATATATATAATATATATATATATGACACTTTTTTCAAGATATATTTGGCAGTCACTGCTTTCTTTGACATCCTCTGAAAACTCTAACATCTGGCACTCAAACACCATATCAATGTATAAAAAGTTATATAAAACACTTGCCCTTTTTTTTAAGGAGGGATGGACGATTTTCGACTCTGTGATCTACTACGCTGTTGTGACTGCAGTATAAATGTTTACTACAAGCCATGTGAAGCAGGCACTCTGACTCCGATGTCAAAAGGCCTTCTCTCTATCTATACGTTTTTGGTATCTTCCTCCAGTTGAACCTAAATTAAAAACATAAGAGTACATTTTTTTGCTTTAAAGTACCAATAGCAATTTTAAATCCTAGTCGGACCTTTTCCAAGATATTTATTCTATCACAATCCTTTCCACATCTTATTTTGAAATTTACTTTTCCAAATATAATCGTACGTGATCATATGAAATCACTAACCTATTAGGTTGTTAAACATCATTCACGGAAGTCATACGTTTACCTATATTATCATTATTACCTTCCTGAGACTGTACTAAACCCATTGTCTGAAAATATGAAAGGCAATTAGATTTATTCCAAAGAACAAGAGTGCAGCTCGAATTCTTTGTAACAACTCTCACCAGCATCGAGGCACCCATCTAATTAGACATTTAAACTGCCACTTACATGAGGAATAATAATTAATTCAGTCATAATTTATTATCTTGTACTTAAAGTTCTCACCAGAAGTGTTGCTGGCATGAGGGTCTGCTCCAGCCTCCAGTAATGTCTCCACCACTCGCAGGTTACCCCCTTCACTTGCATGGTGCAGCGGAGTAAATCCTGTCAATGTAAACAAGGTTTTTTTTTGCTAATAATGTTTAGAAATTATTCGGTATCATATATTGTTAAATGTTGAAATGTTATTTATACATTTTCCTTGCATCCATAACTACATATATGTAGGATAAGTGGTTTTTATGTGACTTGCTGTGAAGTGTGACAGCAAGTAAGTTATTGGACGAGATGCTTCAAGATTAGAGGTTCTAATAATTCTGACTCAGATGGCGACCACCTTGTTTTTCAAAATGGCCACCGAGTGTGACTTCATTTATTACTATATCAGTCATTTCCACGATCTATTATGTATTTTTTATGAAAATTAGTGTAATACATTGTATTTAATAAAAATTAATTTGTAAATGAAAAAGAGAATCGAGAGGGAAGCTCTGCGCCTGCCCTGGGGGGCAGGGAGGAGTCGCCATTGTTTCTGAATGTGATACAGACACGCTAATGAAATGTGCATAATTTTCGTCACTCTAGGGGTCATATTGAGTTTAACACCTCTCAAATAGGAGCTAAATTTGTTGGGTGTGCAGTTCTGCATAATGTGAGCATTAAGCAGATGGACAGGACAGTTTCAGGAACCTCAGATAAGCTATCTAAATTATGTTTGTAATTCTGGCCAGTATTATCATCATAAATTTGGGTAGAGGGGGGTTCTGTACATGCCACACAGTAATCTCCAGACTAATTGGTGAGTGTTATGATTATAAATTCTCCTTCTGTTATATAAATATGTATATGTAGACATTTATTAATTTTAACATGCAGTCCACAAATTTATATTGATGTTTACCATAATTCCTGGTAATGTATATTTCATTTGAAATTAATATAGTTCTAGAGCAATTTGTGGATATGACAGTTGTAGGTATCGAAGGGGGACATTTTTTACAGCCTAGGTGTCTCAAAATTCCTACTTGTCTATGTAACTTTGATAAATAATAATTATCTTTGTTACCATTTACTGGTATGTATCTGATGAGTTACATCCAGGTAAATGTAATTTTCCACAATTAGTTGCCCGTTGGTCTTTCGAACCAGATGTAATTAGTGAAGTCATTAATTAGTGAATTAATTACTTAATAATTATATGTGAAATAACAGATGGAGGTGATGTTAGGTCCACAAATTTACTTAATGTGTAGTGGATTATGATTATTATAATATTAATTTTCTCAGCCAAGTCTGGCAAAGATTTATATTAGTGTATTTGTATAACATTAATTTTGCTAAGCCAAGTCTGGCTAAGGTTTATATTAATGTGTATTTAAAATTTATATTATAATTTTCTTACATGTGTAATTACTAAGCTCAAGTGTAGCTAACATTATTAATGCATTTTTAAAGTTTATATTATAATTTTCTTACATGTAATTGATAAGCTCAAGTGTAGCTAGGATTTATTGAAAGGTAAGTTGTAATATTTACCTTTATGAAGTGCATAATTAAGTACATAATCAGTGTTATTAAATAATTTGAATTTAATACATTGCTCCATGGGTGAAAATGAGGAAATTAATGTAGAAGATGAACACATGGAAGTTAGAGCAAAAAAATCATCATTGCAGGCTAGAAAAGGTCATGTAACAAAAGCATACAATAAGTGTTTGGAAGTAATGGATCAAAAAACTGTGAATACTGATGATTTAAATTTGTATTTAGATGCTTTAGGAAATAGATATGATTCATACAAATTATATTATAACAAATATGAAGGAGATTTGCTAGTAAACTGTGTAGATGAGACTGAAGTAGATCTTATGATTAATCAGTATTATGAATTAGAAGAAAAGATTCTAGTAAAAGTCAGGCTTTGAATAAATTAAAATGTGTAAACCAGGCAGTTAATCAATCTGCTCCAACAAATAAGATGTCTTTACCCAAACTCCCAGAATTATGTTTCCCTGTATTTAATCTTGGAGAAAATTGGGAGGAGTTTTGGTCAATTTTTAAAGCAGCTGTGCATGATAGGGGTGACCTAGCCTGTGTAACTAAATTATTTTACCTCAAAGGACATATAAGAAGAGATGCTCACATACTCATACAAGCCTTTCCCAATGTAGATGATTCTTACAAAGAAGCAGTTGACTTGTTGAAAGTCACTTATGGTAATATAGAACAAAGTAGGTTAGATCTAGTGAATATCATTGTTAATTTAAAATCTCCAGATCACACTTACAAAGGTTTATAACAGTTTAGATTAAACTGGAGAGCACTCTCAAAACTTTAAGTAATAAATATAATCTGAAGGAATCAGACTGGTTATTGAGTACCATTGTACAGATTAAATTAAGCTGTAAAACACTTGAATAGGTCTCGAACAAGTATCACAAAGGTTATTTTGATCTGGAGGAAATAAGACTAGGTGTACAAGAATTAATTGTTCAGTTGCAGACCAGCCAACCAACTCATTTTAAAGATGCAACACATAATAACTCTGAGGTATCTGTCAAGTTTCACAAAGGGAAAAATTATCTCAATGGTAATAATCAAAATTCATTTCCTAAAAAGAGTTGCATAGATGCATATCAAGTAGCAGGAAGCAGAAATAATGATTCTCCACAAGGTAAGAAGAATAAGTACCCTCCTAAGAGTAGCCCAGTTAATAAGAAACCAGTCAAAGAAAAGAGAGATTGTCTCTTCTGCAAGGTACTCATTTTTCTAAGAATTGCAATGCATACAATTCATGGAATGATAAAGTTGAAAGATTGGAGGAACTTGACAGATGTATCAGGAGTTTAGGTAATCACAATGTAAAGGATAGTCATGCCAAATTAAACAACTGTTATCAATGTCACAAAGGAAGACACCATATAGTCATGTGTAAAGGTCTATATGATAATGTTGATAATAATGATAATGTTGACAATCCTGACACAACAGTGGCTAATGTAAAAATTGCTGCTAATGTTAATAATGATGGTTTTACTGAAGTAGTCTTACCTGTGTTACAGGTAAAAGTTGATGATAAAAGGCATAAATAAAAAAAGTAACTGCATTATTAGACCAGGAATCACAGCGTACTTTCATAAAACGTAAATATCTTGATGGGATGAAAGTACAGATGGGAGATCCTACAACTCTAAAATTATCTGTTTCTTTCTCAGATAAAAGGGCTCAATTGTATGACACTGTTTATGTAACTGTCAGGTTGGGCAATGAGAAAAAACGTGTTAATGCAGTAATTGTAGATAGACTTCCAGAGAAAATATCTACAGTATGGCTTAGTAAAGCTACAGAAAGACTTTCACATAATGTAAATTTACCACCTTCTGGCCAGTATTATCATCATAAATTTGGGTAGAGGGGGGTTCTGTACATGACACACAGTAATCTCCAGACTAATTGGTGAGTGTGATGATTATAAATTCTCCTTCTGTTATATAAATGTGTATATGTAGACATTTATTAATTTTAAAATACAGTCCACAAATTTATATTGATGTTTACCATAATTCCTGGTAATGTATATTTCATTTGAAATTAATATAGGTCTAGAGCAACTTGTGGATATGACAGTTGTAGGTATCGAAGGGGGACATTTTTTGCAACCTAGGTGTCTCAAAACTTCTACTTGTCTATGTATCTTTGATAAATAATAATTATCTTTGTTACCATTTACTGGTATGTATCTGATGAGTTACATCCAGGTAAATGTAATTTTCCATATTTGGTATTCATTATTTTCATACATACTTTCGATACATAAACCATAATTTTAAAAGTAAAAGTGCATTCTAACTACGTTAATATAAGGCCTTTATGATTAGATGTCCGTTTACATTGTGCCGGCTGCTTGCTGGCACGATGCTTCCAAGCAGCTGCAACTTAAACGTTATTAAACAACTGCTAAAGTGTAACTCAAAGGCTACCCTTGACCCTGACCTTGAGCGTATGTACTATCCACTAGGAATTTTTATTGACCTAAGAAAAGCTTTTGACACAGTAGACCACGGCATCCTACTCCACAAACTTGACCATTATGGTATAAGAGGCCATGCGCTTGCATATTTCAAATCTTACCTTACTAATATTTATCAGTATGTCACCATTAAAGACACAGCATCAACAACACAGCCACTTGATACTGGAGTTCCGCAGGGAAGTGTCCTTGGTCCCCTGCTCTTCCTCATTTACATCAATGATCTTCCAAACGTATCTCAACACCTGAAACCCATTCTCTTTGCTGACGACACGACTTAGGTCATCTCTCACCCTAATCTTGCCACCCTCAACACCATTGTTAATGAGGAGCTGATCAAAATATCGACTTGGATGACAGCCAATAAACTTACGCTTAACACTGACAAAACCTACTACATTATGTTTGGTAGCAGAGCAGGAGATGCGCAAATTAACATTAAGATCGACAACACTCTAATTGCCAGGCATAATGAGGGCAAATTCCTAGGCCTATACCTCGATAACAACCTGAACTTCAGCACCCATATCCAACACATAACCAAAAAAGTATCCAAAACAGTTGGGATCCTCTCCAAGATACGATACTACGTGCCGCAAACTGCCCTTCTCACACTATACCATTCACTTATATATCCATACCTCACCTATGCTATCTGTGCTTGGGGATCAACTGCAGCAACACACCTAAAGCCAATAATAACCCAACAAAAAGCCGCAGTAAGAATAATCACTAAATCCCATCCCTGGCAACACACCTCACCACTCTTCATAGATCTAAACTTACTCCCTGTTCAGAACATCCACACTTACTACTGTGCAATCTACATCTACAGGGCCTTAAATTCCAATATTAACCTTGACCTAAAACGCTTTCTTGATAGTTGCGACAGATCCCAGGCATAACACCAGACACAAACATCTCTATGACATTCCCCGTGTCCGACTAAACCTTTACAAAAATTCAATGTATATCAAAGGCCCTAAAATCTGGAACACCCTACCTGAAAATTCTAAAACTGCAGACACATTCATCACCTTCAAAACTACCATCAGAAAACATCTTATCTCCCTGATACACCCTGTCAACTAATTACACGAATACCACCTGGTGGTTAACACTTACACTCACTCACCCATTTGACCATAAACAGAAATATCAATCTCAATCTCAAAATAATGAATCTTAACTAGTCATAAGTTGGCCTGTGATACTCCAATACTGAAACTATGTATAGTGCCAAAACAAAATCATTCACATTGCTAAACTCACAAACTAGTATTTAGTCACTTAGCCATAATACCAACTTACCTCATAATTTTGTAATATTTTAAACTTAAGATTTAATTTAAGTCTGCCCGAAATGCTTAGCCATGCTAGGTGTTCTAGTGGTACACTCTGTAATTATTTTACTACATGTAAACCACACAATAACCAAATTCTGTAAACTCAGCATTGTAATCCTTATAGAGAATAAACTTTTTACAGTATATCGTTCAGATTTTTCGCTTAATGGAAACATGTGTGGGAGAGAGCAGTTCCATTGAAATGATGTGAATGTGTCACATATCAGAGTCCTCCATGTATTGCTGTCTATATTCTTTTAGAAGACTAGTGGTTTCTGAGTCTTAGATCATCCACCTGATCATTGCAGTTGCGTTCTCTGGCACAATTCCCGACGTTATTTCGCGTTAGTATTTTCTTCTTCATGCACTGGATCATGTGGGATTCACGAGAACACCTTTTGCCTGTTTTACTGGCAACCCAATGACATTTCAGTTCACTGATGGAACACCAGCGTAAATAATTATTCTTGTCTAATGCAAAGAAAAGTTGGATTGGTTTTGTTTAACACTTCCGCATACAGTAAAAAATTATTTTCTCTGTGAGCCCTTTTGAAGAACATGAGCATTTTAGTCATGAGAGCAAAGTCCCAATACTGCAAAGTTGAGTTCTGCTTCATCATCCTTTCTCTCCAAGAACTGAAGTTGTCTTCATCAGACCCATTTTCTCTGAGTCTGAATGCTTGTTGCTGCAGCCTCCACAAGACCATTATTGATGTTTCACTTGCATGTGTCGTTTTTGTTAAGCGATGTTCTTTGAGCAAATTATCAGCAGTTCCACTGCTTGGAATATCATTTTTTTATTAAGGCCGATACCCAGCCAAAACATTTCAGAAAGTGTCAGTTGAGGACCAGAGAGCCATCTCAATGTGCTGGCCATTCAATATGATTACCATCTTAGGTTTAGCAGCTAACTCCACTGAATTATCTTTTGCACTGATTGGACAGTCACAGACCATGACAGGAATCTTTCCTGGGTCTGAGTATTCATTGGGTGATTTTGATAATATTAATGCTGTATTCTACCATTACTGGTGACTCAACATTCCTTTTAGAACTTTATGCATTATTATGTCCTTTATTATTGTCTGTGTGTGATTAAGCTGTCCATGCCATTATCTGTCCTCTCTCGTTCTCTTTCGACTTCTGAATATCAGTCACAAGTGTCAGCCATTCTTTCTCTGTTACCAGAAACTGCTGATTGAAAAGGGATTTATTGGTGGCCAATTCAGGGATCTTTTGTGTAGTCTTACAGCGGGAAAATATCAAATTCCCCCTGGCAGTATTATAAGTGTTCACATTTCATCTCGTCTGCAGGAACTGTATTTAATCTGGTGCAATGGAATGATCCAGAGGGATTTTTGGTAGTTTAGGAACAATATCAGAACCTAGCAATATTATGATTATATCCAGTGTGAAGGAATTTGAATTATAAGTTTATTCTGGTGGCAATGATGTTTTCATTGAGTAACACGAGGTATTAAACCAAAGTCTATTATCACTTAAACAAATGTCATTCTCCAGTGGTGAAAGTGACAATTTTAATTATAACGTTTGTTCGGTCGCGAGTTTTGATTCCTTTTATTAATCCCCTGATTTTTTGCATAATCGAGTAATTATTCCTTTTTAAACCTTGAAGTATCATGAAAGTTACGAACAAGTTTGTGGTTATAAAATGTGGCGGTTCTCTTCTATGTTTAAGGAAGGTTCATAGAACTATTTTTTGGAGAATTGCAGGCTAGGTTTATTGGAATCTTTTAAAATCCATAACCATAAAAGAATGGAACAGTTGTTGAGGCTAACATGGAATAAACCTTTTATACCCTTACTATGTTCTAAAGGATGGTCCATTTCAAACATAATTTAATCGGAACCCATTAAGCGACCCTAAATGGTCTTGATTTGGGAGGGCTCTTATTCACAACAGATATTTGCCACTCTTTTTTAATCACCAATTAACTAAACTTTTCAACCCTCCCCCCAGCACGATATGTCCGTTTCAAGCGCTTCTCTCTGGACAATCATTAAACGTACATTGAGAATTTGTCAGGCCAGATTTGGTCCGTTGCAACCGACGTCTGCTTGTCAAAATTACCACCAACTCTTCGACTCTGTCAGTGTGGAGAATGACAAGTTATATGTAAGGAAAGTAGCAATAACACTATATATTAGGATCCAGGAACAAGAACTCCTGTGAGCTTAACATCCGTGAAAGCTTTTGTGTCCAACATAGAGACGATGTTGGACAATTTATAAAGTTCAGTGAGGACAGGTTATATAAATGGTTTGAAAACCGACATGTTGAAGATTGAGACACTTATACAATATATGGGACTCTTTACTGAAGAAACGTTTCGCCACACAGTGGAGAAACGTTTCTTCAATAAAGATTCCCATATGATCCATAAGTGTCTCAATCTTCAAGGACAGGTTAGTCGTTTACGAAAACGATTTACGACGACGAAAGTGTATAAAGGCTAAGCTTTATAACTGTATGTTCATGGGGCTCAGGAGCTGGAACTGAATCCTACGCAACGTTTCTAAGCTTTCAAGAAATTCGGATGAAACATTGTGAAGACATATGATCGAATTTAAACAAAACAGCAATAAAAAAGCTGGACAACATACCGAAATTGTTGACGACATTAACAGAAGCCCCAAGAGAGAGCAACTTCTTGACAACTTCAAGCTTGTTTGCAGTGGAAGCTATGTGGAGTGCTGAGGGACCCGCGGTAGTACCCGTCCCTACCACCAGTTGATCAATCTGAGCTCCCTCTCTCACAGCCTCCACAACACCTTCTACATTCCCAGCCTTCGAGCATCGAATCTAATAACAAATATTTATTATTTTTATTTTTATTATTATAAAACAAATGTAACATAAATATACTGCAGCTTCTGCTAGTGTTAAAATTACTTCTGTAACTACTTTGTAACACTACTACTACTACCACTACTGCTACTACAACTGTAAGAAGATTCCACAATGTTCTTATTACAACAATTATTTCTACTACTACTACTACTACATCTACTACTACGACTACTGCTACTATTACTACTAGTACATCTACTACTATTAATACTATTACAACAACAACTGTTAAGATCCTACAATATATGACAGTCATCGTGTAGGAATCAAAACGATTTAGAAACATTAGAAAGTTGGATAGGAAAGCATTCGCAACATTTGGTACTCATTTTTTTTTGAGGAAACATTTCGCCAGCCATTAATCTTACTTAACCGTTCTTTTTTGTGAAGTATTAGTTTCGATTTTTATTTAGAGCGAGGTGTTGAATAGTTAAATATATATATATATATAATATATATATATATATATATATATATATATATATATATATATATATACACTGCGTACATTGTCCTAAGGTTGTAGGTTCGAGTTCCTTCAGCCTCAGAGAATCAGTGTTATTGTGATATTTCGCGCATCCTCGCAATTCATTGCATTGTTCAAATCTCTAGTAGGGCTGATGCATGCAAAAGGTGAGATCCAAGCTGTAAGCCTGCTCCCTGGAAAGCGTGCTTGGCAATCAACGTGAGCCAAGTACACGCCAAGGTATTGTCAGTGTGGTAAGATTGGTATAAGCCTGCGTACTCGTGTTCTTAAGGTTCGTAGGTTCGAGTCTCCTTCTGCAGAGATCATGTTTATATATATATATATATATATATATATATAATATATATATTATATATATATAAGCAAATTCATTCTTATCCCTGATTGGTGTACATTCCTACGGCAGGTTTGAGTGGTATTGATCAATAACAACACTGCGCTAGCAGTGATGGCATGGCCAATACAACATGGGTCGATTATTGGCAGGCAGTATGTTGTTATTGGTCATACATCATACTGCTCGTGAGGCTAGTACAAACAGGGTGAAATGAAATTAGCTTAGAAGCTCACAATCAGTATGCCCCGATGGCGGCCCAACAGCTGGCATTGCTGGCTGCGCCATTCTGTAGGGTTGTGGTTGGTCCTGTGGTTTAAAGCGTCATGTGGTTCTCGCTTACCATGAGGCAGGCCAGTACAACATGGGTTCGAATCCTTGGCTAGCGCAGTGTTGTTATTGATCAATATATATATATATATAATTAAATATATATTATATATATATATATATATATTGGTAGATAAAAGACTGTTGAGTAGAGATCAGGTTGTACATGCATATAGAGGGGCCACTGATATATTAGATCACTTTAATTGTAGCTACAGTGAGAGTAAAAAGTAATGGGATACAAGGAAAATAGAAGCACCAAGTAAGAGAGACGTGAAGGTATGTAAATTAAAGGAGGAGGCAGTTAGGTTAAAATATAAACAACTGTTGGAGGATAGATGGGCTAGTGAGAGTATACGCAATGGGGTCGAAGATATATGCGGTAGGTTTAAGAATATGGTGTTAGAGTGTTCAGCAGAAGTTTGTGGTTAAAGGAAAGTGGGTGCGGGAGGGAAGAGGAGCGATTGGTGGAATGATGATGAAAGGAGAAAAAGTTTGCATATGAGAGGTTTTTACAAAGTAGAAGTGATGCAGGGAGGAAGGAGTATATGGAGAGAAAAAGAAATGTTAAGAGAGTGGTGAAGCAATATAAAAAGAGTCAAATGAGAGAGTGGGTGAGATGTTATCAACAATTTTTTTTGAAAATAAGAAAAAGTTTTGGAGTGAGATTAATAAGTTGAAGAAGCCTAGGAAACGACTGGATTTCATAGTTAAAAAAAATAAGAGAGGAGAGTTATTAAATGGAAAGTTAGAAGTACGGGGAAGATGGAGGGAATATTTTGAGGAATTGTTAAATGTTGATGATGATGGAGAAACTGATTTCATGTATAGGGCAAGGAGGAATAACATCTTGTAGGAGTGAGGAAGAGCCAATTGTGAATGTGGGGGAAGTTCAGGAGGCAATGAGTAGAATGAAAAAGGGTAAGGCAGCTGGGATTGAAGGAATAGAGATAAAAATGTTAAAAGCAGGTGGGGATACAGTTTTGGAGAGGTTGGTGCTTTTATTTAATAAATGAATAGAAGAAGGTAAGGTACCTAGGAATTGGCAGAGAGCATGCATAGTTCTTTTGCATAAAGGCAAAGGGGACAAAAGAGAGTGCAAAAATTATAGGGGAATAAGTCTGTTGAGTATACCTGGTAAAGTGTATGGTAGAGTTATTATTGAAAGAATTAAGAGTATGACGGAGGGTAGGAAAGCAGATGAACAAAGAGGCTTTAGGAAAGGTAGGGAGTGTGTAGACCAATTATTTACAGTGAAACATATAAGTGAACAGCATTTGAATAAGGGTAAAGAGGTTTTTGTGGCTTTAATGGATTTGAAAAAGGCGTATGACAGAATGGATAGGGGAGCAATGTGGCAGATGTTGCAACTGTTTGGAATAGGAGGTAGGTTTCTGAAAGCATTGAAGAGTTTTTACGAGGATAGTGAGGATCAGGTTAGATTATGTAGGAGAGGTGGAGATTATTTCCCAGTACAAGTAGGCCATAGATAAGGATGTGTAATGTCTCCATGGTTGTTCAATATATTTATAGATGGGGTTGCAAGAGAAGTGAATGCTTGTGTGTTGGCAAGAAGTGTTGGGTTAAAATATAAAGAATCTAACACAAAGTGGTTGTCACAGTTGCTCTTTGCTGATAACACTGTGCTTTTGGGAGATTCTGAAGAGAAGTTGCAGATGTTGGTGGATGAGTTTGGTAGGGTACGTAAAATAAGAAAATTAAAAGTGAATATTGGAAAGAGTAAGGTAATGATGACAACAAAAAAATCACATGACGAGAGATTGGATATCAAATTGGAGGGAGAGAGTATGGAGGAGGTAAATGTATTCAGATATTTAGGAGTGGACCTGTAAGCAGATCGGTCTATGAAAGATGAGGTAAATCATAGAACTGATGAGAGGATAAAGGTGAGTGGTGCACTGAGAAGTCTTTGGGGACAAATTTGTCCATGGAAGCAAAGAGGGAATGTATGAGAGTACAGTTGTACCAACACTCTTATATGGGTGTAAAACATGGGTAGTGAATGTTGCAACAAGGAGAAAGCTGGAGGCAGTGGAGATGTTATGTCTGAGAGAAATGTGTGGTGTTAATATAATGCAGAGAATTCATAGTTTGGGAATTAGAAGGTGGTGTGGGATTACCAAAACTATTATCCAGAGGGCTGAGGTGTTGTTGAGATGGTTCGGGCATGTAGAGAGGGTGGAGCAAAATAGAATGACTTCGAGAGTGTATAAATCTGTAGTAGAGGGAAGGCACGGTAGGGGTCGGCCTAGGAAAGGTTGGAGGGAATGGGTAAAGGAGGTTTTGTGTTCGAGGTGCTTGGACTTCCAGCAAGCATACATGAGCGTGTTAGATAGGAGCGAACGGAGACAAATGGTATATAGGATTTGACGTGCTGTTGGAGTGTGAGCAAGGTAACATTTATGAAGGGATTCAGGGAAACCGGCAGGCTGGACTTGAGTTCTGGAGATGGGAAGTACAGTGCCTGCACTCTGAATGAGGGGTGTTAATGCTGCAGTTTTATAATTGTAGTGCAAGCACGCCTCTGGTAAGACAGTGATGGAGTTAATGATGAAAGTTTTATTTTGGGGCCATCCTGCTTTGGTGGGAAACGGCCGATGTGTTAATAACCTAACCCATATATTTATTTGTCCAATATCAAGTTAAATTGTTCACCTGACGAAGAACACACTTTGTATTTTTGTGAAAAAATATTTTTGCCTTTAAGATTATGAACAATATTCTTAACTGTAAAACTATCAAGTTTATATATTCCAGAACACAAATTTGATATATGTTGTACTTCATGCTTAATAAAAGATGGCTTCCACAATATTTCGTTGAACTGTAGAATTACAGGGAAGTAATTCTTTGGCATTAGTTCATTCTTAACAGTGGCCTGCATCCCTTACATGAACGAGCAAAGCACTGGAGTCTTGTCCACTCAGTATTGCATATTTATGTTGTTTAATTCTGGTCGCAAGAGATTTGCCAGTTTGTCCTAGATAAAAAATATCACAGCTTTTACAAGGGATGGAGTATGCACACCTTACAGATTCCTTGGGAGAATTTTCAATTAATTTTTGTTCCCCAGTAATACCATATGTAAAGACAACTTTAACATTAAAATATTCAAGAGCTAATGAGAGGTGAAAGAGATTTTCCTTATACGGTAAAACCAACAAATTCTCAAGCTTATACCCGGTATTAAGCTTTGTCTTATAGAACGCTTCTTTTTTTTTAGCTTTATGAAGAGCTTTATCGATAAATGTTCGTGGGTATTGCAAATTAGAAGCAGTTTTATAGATTTTTCTAATTTTCCCATCATAGAGTTCAGGGCTACAAATCCTAAGAGCTCTCCAAAACATAGAAGTAAATACACACTGTAAAATGTATTTCGTGATTCGAATATTAATGTATGTATGAACATATGTTAGTAGGCTTGCTATATTTTCAGTTGAATATACATGATGGTCTGAAAGGGTTTAGTGTAGGTTTAGTGATTGTATGATGTAGCAATTGTCCTAAGCAGCATCTAGCTCCTGTCCTCCCTCACCATGCTCTATTCCGTACATGTTACTATAACCTATCACATTTTACTAATATAAAAACTATTTGCGATGATCCAGCAGTCTTAACAAATACATTTAAACAAAGCGAGTGGTCCTGAAGGCTTTGCAACTCTTTCCACCAGGGTACAATGTATCTTACTGAACCCTATACCTGTAAAGTGTTGTAAATCACTGTATGTACCTTGAATAACTATGTTATCTTCTCGCTTACTTTAACCAGTTGTTTATT